GCAACTGGCAGGGGGGGGAGGGTGGCTGGGTCATGAATTGTAGCTGGACCAGGTGCTAGTGGGGTGGGTAATATTGCTTTGTTTTCCACTGGCACTGGGTCACTCTGTAGGGTCAGAGTCTGGGTGGGTGCTACAGTAGGGTTGACTGTGGTACCAGGAATGCAGCCTTCTTGAGTGGTGGTAGTAGATGGTAGATATAAGATCAGTTTACTTCATGGTGCCAAGCGAACAGGCTGCACAAGAGAGTATCCGTAAAATCTAGCTACGCTCCATTGAGAACAGTGCGCGCTCTGCCCTCGAAAAATACCGTGCATATTTTCCCTTCACGCTCCCCCATATCCACGTCGAGGCTAATTGAAAGCTTTGCATTTTAACCCAGCCCTCCCCCCCCTCCCCCCGCCGCCGCCCGCCCCCAGCACCCTCAACACTCAACCCATACATTTTTTTGCAGGAAGTTTCAGTCGAGTTTCGAGTGCGAAGTGTATGTAGAGATGGTACAACACTTCAATATTTCCTCGAATCTCCTTTACTTTGTTGTCACGGAAAGCTTAACCCTCGTCTACTGACGTCAACTCTTCTAAACTTGAACATCCCAGGGTAAACATGCAACAGCAGCAATCACATAAGCAGAACCAGTGATGCTCTAATTCGATTGTAGTGTTGACCTACGTTGACAATCTAGTCTGCGACTTATTCATGTTTCGAACATTTAACCTTCACTTTCTCTCTCGCCTGCCTGAAAACCATCTTTAGATCAGCTTCTTTACATTCCACCATTGAATAGAGGGCTGTTTGTACTTCACAGACTCATTGCAAATTTTTGTGGTGTAATATTATACCACGCAACTAAAAATCTCTCGCAAACCATTTCCGGTCGCAACAACATAGTCTTTGTTTTTTTTTTGTAATTGCGTTACTCTCGCCGACATGCTGTGGGTATAGCTCTAGAGGACCATTCTGTTTATAATTCAATATTTATGCTTTGCACCGGCTTTGCACCATCTTAAAGTTTATCCTTTTCGAATGAAACATTTATGAAGATCTTTATGTTTTGCTGGCCAAGGGGATCTGCTTTGTTTAACGGAGATTGAACACGTTCTGAGACCTTTTGGGACCATTAGAAAAGGAATACGGTCCAAGCGATGGTTGTTGTGATTGCAATCGCCTTTGCTCTTGTTATTCAGAGTTGTGGAATTCGAGGTAAGTGATAACCTTGTTTTGCCCTTGTTGTTTTCGTTTAATGGAAATTACTAACGTAAGGATGAGAGTTCAGATATTTCATATCGCGCATTTATCATAAATAGTTTCGAAGATTAGCGAGGAAGAGCACGAAGAGCGATCGATCTTGTTAACGTGTTATGCCGTGAATCAGCCTTGACATTTTGGAATTTTAAAATTACTATTTCACTCCCAGAAGTGGCCAAAAGATATTTTGTAAAATATTGATAAGCAAATAGCATCTCATTGAAGTAAATATTGATAACTTTCTTTCCAACATATATGACATATGCCTGGCGTAGTCAATCGATAAACTGAAAATCGATATTAATCGAAGATTGATTAATTGCTGAAAGCAGTGGATGAAAATCGATAAATAAAAAAAGGTTGTGAGTTATCGATTGTTGTCGATTGCCAATAGTAGTCGATAGCGATTGATTCATCAACTGGTATCGATTATTATCGATTGTTATCGGAATTATTTATGTCCTTTTACAAGCTACACTGATAAAATGCTTGACAAAATTTGTGTATAATGGTTTTATTGAGTCAATTTATCACAGCCTGCGTATCTTTTACAATCATTGATAGAATAACAAGAACTGAAACAACTGGCAGAAAAATTTTGGCCTTTACATCTTTCTTTGCTATAGTTTACGACACCAGAAGAAGCTCAGCCCAGAGTACGCAGCGTAAAACCCTCCAGTCTCATTGTAGCGTCGGCATTAAGATGAAGGGAAATAAACAACAGAGTCAGTGTGCTAGTGATCTCAATTATTTGCATTAGGAAACAAACGTAAGAATAGATCTCGGAAGTAAGCCACAAGGAAAATATAGTCTACCTAGCATGCTGAAGTTGAACTTCTCGTGTTGTTCTAGGTGTTATTTCACACAATAGCAAAACCATCTCTGAATAGTCTGAGTGGTTATTGTCGATTTTTTTAAATCGATAACAATCGATATTCCAGGAATATCGATTGTTATCGACTTTTGCCAATCGATAACAATCGATAACGAGATTTTTCTGTGAGTTATCGATTGTTATCGATTGCCGATATCGATCCATAGCAATCGGCGATTGATATCGATTGATATCGGTTGAATCGATTGATTTCCAATATCGATTCCTATCGATTGACTACGCCTGGTATTTTAGTAGTATTTTATCCCCTATGCCGAAATATTTACTAAAATACTTCAATTCCTGACCCAAAATTTACCCTTCTGAGGATAAACTCTACACACGATGAGAGTGCCTTAGTTAAGCGAGGTTAATGATTTATGGTCATTTATTAAAACAAGTAGACGCTGGTGTTCCCAATGCTCAACTGCACGCTATGGTTGATATATTCATAATCTGATTGGTTACAAGTCACCTACTATCGGTGCAAGAAAAGGCTCTCTCGGGGCGTGAGCAGCGTTATTCTTCGTTTTATGGATGTTTTATAACTCAGATACTGACTACTATAGGTAGTTATTCTTGTAGCCTCCATGGCTTACCCGAGAACATCCAAGCCGCAAGGTCACGAGGAGTCATGAGAGAACACGAAAGGCCCATATAGCGCAGCACATTTACTTTTCACTTAAAAAAGGATAAAATGAACGCCTCGAGCTAAAATCCCTTGGTCACCTGTGAACTGACCAAAATGTTTATCATTTTTTAAGCTGAATTTGGCGAAATGGTAGCGGTTGAGTGTGAACACGACCAGATGCGAGTGCACATTGACAAAACTTTAATCCCGGACTTCAGACTGAACGACTTGCGCCTCTTGGATCCAAACTGCCAGCCACCGAAAAGCGAGAATAGCAGTCACGTGACCATAACAGCACCGCTGACTAGTTGCGGTACCACGGTGGAGCACACTGACGAAAGTGTCATTTACAGGAACATGGTTAAAGATGGGTACGAGCGTCAAGCCATTATCAGTCGACTGCAGGTTTGTTTCATGGCTGGTTAATCTCGCAGCAAATTGTAAGCCAACGGCTGAGTGTAATCCTGGTGGAGGGGTTATACTCTCAAATGAGGGAGACAATGGTGTTCGACAGAAGTGTTTTTAAATAAAAGCTAAAAGACCAGAATAGGTCATTTCCGAGTTTCCTTCTGCCTCTGTGTCAAGATGAGTCTTGGTGCGAAAGCATTCACCTGAAAATATTTCACCCTACAGGTTCATTTTCATGAAAATCAAACTCATTTTCGTATGAAAGGTTTTGCACGAGAACTCGTTTTGAAAAAGAGGCACAAGGCAACTCGGAAATGGCCAATTCAGAGTCCCAAAACAAAATAGATTACACAATGTCAATTTCATTTCTAAAGAACTGGCTGAACTGGCCCCGGTTGTTCGAAAGCCTATTAAGCTAACCCAGGATTAGCGAGAATTTTGATCTCAATTTTGTAACTTTTCGGTAAGGTTTTCTGTTTATATTGTTTTTCCTTCTCTCTAGAGTTTGAAAAATCTCAAACTACACAGAACATAAGCAGTCAGAAACATATTTATCCAAGAAAAATTAACACATAGGGTAACTTTTAATCCTGGGTTAGCGTTAACCGGTTTTCGAACAACCCGGCCCTGGTTTCTGATCATTTGAGCTGAGCACCCCTTCTCACAGCACCTAAGCAAAACTATTCTAGATATACTTTTCCTAAGGTACATGCAATACGTCATCTACACCTGGAATTCTCAAGTCGAATTCGGAAAAAAAGGTGTATGATTCTAATAGGATATTCCAGGTGTATTTTATGTCAAGCATCCTTGCATACCCTAGAAGATTACGATAGACGCGGCGTGCGCCAATGCGTATTCGGGCGAATTCGGACCCCAGTATTTAGCTTTTTGGAGTGGTTGAGCTCTTTTAGTTGAAATCGAGGGGAATCCCTATCTCCCAGTTTCCGGGCATCCCTTTCCCAAAATCAGACAATACTACAGGAAAGTGAAGGCGCGTGTTTTGGCGGGAGAAACGTGGCCTCTTCATATTACCAGGGAGTTCAAGTAACCACGACGGTGATGCCGAGGACAACGTCGATTAAAAAATGAATTTATATTTACCTACTAATCTCGCGGAACGCTAAAGTTATTCACTTTGTTTATCACTGTAAAAACTATCACAAAACTAATCTGTAACACAGCGATATATTTGAAATAGGAATTTGAAAAATTAGCCGTTGTTGTTCACGTTCTCCAAGCAACGCTGAATTCGGTCATTTCACGTTGTTTTTCAGAGGACGGCAAAGAAATGTACCAATAATTATAACGCACGTGCACAGCCATTGTACTGCCCATTAAAAATTATTTAGCGACGTTACCGTTGCCGTTGTCGTCGTGGTTTTCTCAGCTTTTCTACCATATGCAAACAGGATTGCCCTAGTGGAAAATTAAGCTCTTGAATGGAAGGTGAGCTCATACTTTGACCTCACAGACCATCATCAACTTCTTGGAAGTTTTTTTTCTTTTTTTCACAAAAGTAAACAAATTTATATCTCTGATAAGTTTTCCCAGGTTACACTTCCTTGACTGAAGTCACTCCAGGGCTAACTTTTGTCTGATTTGGAGCGTTTTTATTTTTTCTTCAAGGCTTTAGAAATTCCATTTGAGTGTGCCTATCCAAACCAAGCCGCAGCTTCACTTCTTGAAATGAACATCAAAGAATCCGAGCTGATTTTGTTAACACCTGACCATGGTTCTGGGGCATTCGACCTGGATATGAGTATATACAAGGTACTGAAACGTGTAGAAGGCTTTTAGGCTTGCATAAAAGAAGGATCTGGAGTTCAGACAGTGCAAACATATAAGCATAAGACTGTATTTTACGGCTGTAAGAACGGTTTTCTATTGACTGTTGTAAACAAAAACCAAAGTAATCACTCTAGACAATCACAAAGGACATTAGCCTCCCACGCAGACGCTCTTAGGGCTCGTCACGGGTTCCTTCCATGTTCGTGGGGAAGGAATGCGTAACGAGCCCTAAGAGCGTCTGCGTGGGAGGCTAAAAGGACAGAGACAATATAGAGAACCAATCAACACTCGAAGAAATTACATGTAGCTGACGCAAAGCGAGGGAAAATTAGTGCGAGTGAGTCAAGATTGGTTTTGCTTTTACTAGTGATTGGATGAGAAATTGGCGCGAGATTTTTAAGCCAATCGTGTAGCATAATTGACGCAAACCCAATTACTTGTCGACTCTCAAATGGAAACTGCTCTATTTTTTATCGGATTCTTACATATCCTGCAATTTTACCCTAAAATATTCTGACGCTCACCATATTGCTTCTCTCTCGTCGTCCATTTACCGCTAAAATTACCTCATACCTTCCCTTGTTCTTTACAGAGCGAAGGCTACGATGAGGAATATACAAGTTTTCCGTTAGCAGTAACACTGCAACAACGTCTTTACTTTCAAGTCTCAGTGGACACGCCAGACACGCGGCTGGGTATCAGTGCAGACTTCTGCTATGCCACGCCCATTAACAGTCTTTCCCAGAAAACAAAGTACGATATCATCCTTGACGGGTTAGTACCAACATTTGTTGCTATATCGTCAACCTTTTATTAATCGTAGAACGCTAGCGCTGTATTATGATACACTGGAGAGGGTCCCGAAGAGGTCATATGGAGGAAATTGGAGCAGTACCTGATTGCAAGCTTGGATCCCAGAATCTGCATATGGGAACCCCGCGATAAGCATGTTTCTTGTAGGAACCTGGTTAGTAATGATGTTTCAGATGCCAGGCATGTCCATTTTGCTCCAACCTTATAGCTCTGCCTATACCCTACCCAATGTTGGGGTTGCGTGTGGTCACCAAATGGAATAGTTCCCTCCCTCTCACTACTTCAGAATCTGTAACTGCAGCCCCTAAGGAGCGTTCTCTATAATAAATCTTAAATTCCCTTTTTTGCACTTCAGATGTCCAAAAGATGAAACCGTTCGATTTCACAGTGGTCCCTCCACCACACAACGCTTCAGCTTTGAAGCTTTTCAGTTTGTTAATGGTCAGGTTGAGCCATACCTTTATGTCCATTGTGAGGTCGTCCTGTGCAACTTGACGGATGCCAAACCCAGCTGCAGGAAGGACTGCAGTGACCCGCATGTCGATTCGAGACAAAAACGAGCAGTCAATACCGATGTTTATGATCTAGAGAAAGGCCCAATAGTTCTTTTAAGGGATTCTAAGTATAGCTTTGAAGACGATCCAGAAAATGAGGACGAAGCTCGACAAAATCAAGGTAAGCGTGAAACGAATTAGAATACTTTTCAAAAAACAGTGCTCTGTTTTTCATTTTCCCTAGTTTCGTTAGTTTTAGTTCAGTGAGTTCCCTCTGAGTAACGCCTCTCTTTTTGTTCCTGTATTTGTATTTTTGCTCCTTTCGTTTGTGTGTTGATGTGTTTGGTCGAGTAGACATCGTACTTCGGTCGCGTCAAGTCTGGCTTACGTATGGTGTCGGACTGAAAACTGCGCGTATACCTTATTGTTGCAGGCATCGGTTACTGGTCAAGTGACAACATCGTGAGACTAAAGATATAATTTCTTCGTATCTTTCATTTCGTAAGTCTTTATGTCTATTTTCCTTGTTTTCAGGCAATCAGCCATCGAACATGACGAAGTGGTTGTTTGGTCTTATGGGATTCATATGTGTTCTGTGCTTAGCTGCTGTGCTGCAGACGGTTAAGGATGTTAGGCAAGCAGAGCAAGCTTCAAGTGAACATTGAGTTGGTACACTATAGATCCAGCATTCCATCCCCAGACTAAGAGTTTCTAAGAAAACGCCAAAATTCTTGACAACATCTGCGCCGCTGTCGAATGGGTCGCAATTGCATTTTGCACGATGCCCGACAAACATTTACAGCATCCGTTCTATTTTGTGTGGAAGTGGAAATTTGCCTTCCATATTGAATAATCTTGATTTGCCGTCCACTTCTTCTTTTAAACTCTATTTTAGCGCTACCATATCGCCAAGGTAAAGATGTCAAGGCTATTCTGAGAAGCACAGTGAGATAAACCACGAAGAATTCGAGTTAAATCATCGCTGGTGATGAAAGAAGACCAGTTACTCTGGCCGACAAATGTTAAAAGAAGAACGGTGAAGCAAAGTTCATTTGATCATGCCCTATCTCCTCAATTTTCTGCATAATCAGTTTGGCGTTCTTTCTTCTGCGCTCGAGAGCATCTTTCCCTAGTGTATTTATTCTGAATTTTTTTTTTCCCATTTGAATTCTTTCTCAGTCCTCTTCGATAATCTGAAAACCGCCTTTGGACGTTCAATTACTGTTCGGCAACATTTTCAATATCAATGCGTGGTAAATGCTCAAAACTGGGAGCATTTTCATCGAAATTCGCTGCCAATGGATTACGTTTTTCATTTATTACGTTATAATTGTTATATTACCAAACAAAGCAAATTCCAGTTGTATTTCTTTGTCATGTTGACGAAAGCTAATATTTAATGGTTATAATGAAGTCCAAAATAATCAAGGACGAGGAAAATGTTACAACTTATCAAGACCTAACCAAGACTTTTGAACATTGCGAAAAAACAGAACGCAATAATAAAATTTACATATGAGGCAGCTCTTACTGCAGATTGAGACTGTATATTCATAATAGGTATACTCAGATTCACTGCTTCCGTTGCATTAGAATTCTATTTCATGAAATATCGCCAGGTTGATATTCAATTAAATGTACCACTGGATGTTATTAGCCAGCCGAAATTTTCCATTAGAATTGAAGTAGCAAGCTAATTGGTGTCGCGTCTGATCAAGAAAAACTTCTAGAAAGCTACATTTGCATATTAAACCCC